CTTCGCCGATAGATGAGAAGTTCGACAAGCGTAGTATGTTCTGCTCTAATCAGTGCGAATTAAGTCTGACCGCAACGGACGCTATACGATCCAATATAGAGTCAATCTAAGCAGTGCCCGAAAGTGCATCGCCACGACACTCGTTGTCTTTGTAGGTTTGCTACCACCGGCTAAGTCAATCACGCACAGTAAATTAGCTTTGATTCTGCGCTTTTTTATGAGGGAGTTTTTGTGTGTGATTGGTTTAGTCGGGGATAGGAGAACGCAGATCGTGGCATCGGCTATGGTTCGGACTTTTAGTTAAACAGAGCATATAGAGCCTGGCGACTTTAATCGATATTGGCAATTATTGATTTCGCAGATGCTGGAAAAGTGTTCAGCCTCAAGGAAAAAGTCGACCTCTACGTTCGTGACTTCGCCAAGGAAAAGGGCGCCCAGGTGCTTTGGTGGGACATGCACGGAGAACACGAGACCCTCGTTAAGAACGCAAAATACAGCCGGTACGCGGCGCGTCTGACCTTTTTGTAAAGACAGTAATCCGACTCAAAAACAATGCTAGAAGTGTTGGTGAGTTCTCTGTATACGCGAATGAAATATCCGGCAACCCGAAAAGCGGTCCACAAATATGAAAATATGGTAGGGTTGCTCAACGTGTGTACACGCTCGATTTTGCAAAATCTCGGTGTTCATGCAACGGCATATTGTTCCCACCTGTGACGTGACGGCTATGAATATATAGGGTGTCCCAAGTGACCAGGCGCGATCTAAAATGGAGCGTACTAAACGCCTGGACGTAGCAATCTAAAGTGTTCGTCAAAAGTGTATTTCACAAATCATTTTTTTTACTTTTTTTTTTTAAGAATTACAAAGCGTAGCTTTCTTTCTGTAAAAAAACAGGGTCAAGAAACTTGCCAGGTCAACGGCGGACGGTGAAGCAGACGACAGTCGAGTTGTGGGGCGCGTTTTGCGCGCGTATTAAAGGGAATGTCCGGTCGAAACCGGACAAATCCCTTTAATTTTTGCGCTCGTTACGTCGAGGGAGCCTTCATGTAGACAAATGTCATTTTTATTTTGATATATAATCTCCCGTTGTTAATTAACCTTTCATGAGCGTATGTATACGAAACTGCACTCCGAATCTCGCCAGAGTCAATGGCTGACATCCGTAGCTGCTGCGTGACGTCACAAAACGCAAAGGTTTGTCAGATGGTCAGGATAACAAGCGTTAGTCGACGGATGTCTTGTATTTTGTATCGAATTATATAGTCTCCTTGGCTGCACCCTACTGAAATACGGTTCTTTTAATGCACTTCCCAAGCCTGTGCAAAAGAAGTCACGCCTTTTAGCAGGATATTACTCAAAAATAACCATAAGCTTCGAGCCAACGTATGCCGTTTCGCGCAAACATAACTGCGACGGCCACCGATCGAGCTAGGAGGGCTGCGTATTTTCGGCACCGATTTTAAGTTCAGGGGGCGTGGCCATTGACGTCACGGACATCAAAATGACAGCTTTTATTTTGACGTCTTAGTTATTTTGACGCCAACATGTTTTATTGGGATGTCGCTGACTGCATTTTGAAATGTCGGTCGCTCGACGTGTGTGTGGCTGGGTGCTCGGCGGCTCGGCGGTGTCCGCGCTGGTGCGTGTTGTCGACGTTGCCGCCTGTACTCGTCGCATTCTCAGGAACATAAAAACACGACCTCCTCTATCAAACTATAGCCGTTCTCTATTTTAAAACTTCGCCCGGTGCCGTCCGTCACTCCTGTTGCAAATGAAGATTACGTGTACCGGAGGCGACAGAGCCCAGCCACAGTAATTTCGTACGCATTTTTCTGGAGTCGTACCTGTGTAGTAATACGACAAATTATCACCCTTGCATAGAATTGCTCCAAAGGCCGTGCAAGCGGCGAGCGAGCAGCCTTTTCTGGCATGACTGCACCCGCTGCAGGAGCGCTCGTGCCGCGTGATCCAAAGCAACTAGCTCGCGCTTTTAGCACTGTCGTCCTCAACATTTTTTTTAGTGGTAATCGTAAAAAAGAAATGTCGTAAATATCGCCAAATGCCCCAACAAAACAAAATGTTTGAAAAAAAAAAAGAAGTAAGTCTTTACTGCGGATCGAACCTACGAACACTTCCGTAAAAGGCAGACATCTTAACCGCCACGCTACGCTACAACTTCGAAAACCTCGTTTTGACAATTCGTTTTATACGAGACTTTCGGACGGCACTTAACACGGAATACCGTCGGTGGAGTATCGTCGGACGGCGTTTGAACGCTTTGCAAAAGTGCCGTCGGAAGGTACTGTAGTCACTACAAATCTTTTTTGTAACAGGAGTGACCGACGGTATCGGGCGAACGAAATTGGAAAACACTGTTTCTGGATACGCGACGAGCACACGTAGCACGTCAACACACACCAGCGAGAAAACCGCCGAGCCGCCGAGCCGCCGAGCCGCCGAGCACGGTGCACCCGACCACGCGCACACACTCGCCGACCGACCGACCTTGGCGACGTTTGAAAATGCAGACGGCGGCGTCCAAAATTAAACGGGTTTACATCAAAGAACACCAAATAGAATCTGGACGTCCGTGACGTCACTGGCCACGCCCCCTGGATATCGTATCGGTGCCGAAAATACGCACCCAACTAGGAGAACTACGCGCGCTTGCAAAGCAAAGGATGCAGATATCGCCTCTGAAGCGGCAAATATGGTACACGAAGCGGCATCTGGGTACACGTTTCGGGGGATCCACTGGATCTGTGATGAGGCTGAGGGTCGTTCTCTGGGAGGCGGTGTCCACGGTTCGAAGGCAAGCTGCCAATCGTTCAAATGCATGTCGTCACTTGACTTGGACGAGCTTGGTGCATCGTAGCCACGCTCTATTTTCACGTGCGGATCAAATCGAATTTGGCTGCACGCGTGCTAAATACACCTTTGGTATCGTTTCCAGGTGGTCTAGCAGTTGGTTTCGGTTTCGCTGCATAGACAAATTGATTGATCCGATTTGGGCGAGGAGTGGATAGACGTAGTTTAATATCGTTGGCACAGCATCACACGTCAGCTTACGAGCCTTCTGTCCGCTTAGAGCTCAGCTCGTAGCTCTCTTCTGTGAGATGATTGCTGCATACGCGGGGTCTCTACCTTGACGGGAACCCAGCCCCTACGCACGGCGACAATCCATTTTGCTCGTCACTGCACGTATCGCGGAAAAGTGTGGAACGTCATGTTTAGGCTCGCATGTGCTGCCCGGTGAATTTGGCACCCAACCACGCAACAAAATTTTCACCCAACCGCGAAACAAGTCGAGCACAACAACAAAAACGAAGCACGCCGAGGCGTTCATTACGCTGAAGCGTTTATTCGCAGGTAACTGGGCAAACGACGAGACAGCAATGCCATTGCTCGCTTTGTGTTTCGTGACGTCAGAGCTTCAATGTTGCCAACGAAAGCAGCGTTTACGCTAGATTGCGATGGGAGCAGTATAAATTCAATTACTCACGCAGAGGGGCATATAGACGTTTTCAGGCAGCTGTGCATGGGCGCCGCCATAACTGACCCTCAGTTTTTGTTTCCTCTTATTTCGTTCGCTTCACTTCATCATTACCACAGCAGGACAGGTCATCGCCACTTTAGGTGCTACTGCGTCCTTGCCCCCAACATAGCGCTCTGTGGAGGGACTCGTAAACACCCGCTTCAGTGACTTGGTATCTCGGTAAAACAAGAGAAGGTCGGCTATGGCGGCTCAATCTGGCGCGTGTTTAAAGCGTCTATACAATTCAAATATTGCACGTACGATGCGTCTCGAGGGCCGAGGCAATAACAATGATATCCAATTGTTCTCTCGAATACAAAATTTGACCAGACAATCCCTTTAATAGATGGCGTCGGGAGCAGCGTCGGAAGGTGCAGCCGACAAGCGAAAGAAAGCAGACGACACGCAGACGAAATCCGTTGGCAGCAAAAGAGCCGTCGTCATGCAGACGCGTTTTTCCCCCGTTAAGTTTTGCTTTTGTTGTCCGCATTTATTTTTAACCTAAAATAATTTACAAAAAAAAATTATGTTCATTTTAATAAACCATGGTTGTCGCGAGCCGTCTCGATAGGGAGGTAGCGCAATCTATCAATACCAGTGTTTACTCAATTAATTTACAAGCGTACTGCATGCAAGCGATTTGGCAAGCAACGAGACAAGCGACGGTGACCCGCTTCGCTGTCGCTCGGTCAGTCGTGTGAAGAGGAAAACCGCATGGAAGCGACGGGAGCAAGCGGCGAAGATGCTGAGCGTCGTTTTTCTAGATACCCAAAAACCGAGCGACGCGACGGGCGACAGTGAGAAACCTCCGTCGCTGACTCTCGTCGTTGTCGCCACCGCTCGTCTCGTCGCACGGTAAATCGCTTTACGGAAACGAGCGCGCACATGCAGCGAGAAGCACGACTGGATAGCCTTACTGCGTCACTTGAAATTTGCATATGTCGCAATGGTAAAGACTGCCATTTATTAGCGAGAAAAACGTTAAAATGGGATGAACTTATATGGTCTCCGAAGCCATAATCTTGTATCGTCGATCCCCTCGCTGTCCGATTCCATTTCATAAATACGAAAATACAAGAGCTGGTGTTGAAATATATATATCAAATGATTAAATGAAAGCCCGAAATATCTAAAAGATCTAAAGAATACACACAATTTCAACACGGAACGTAAAAGAACACGAAAACAAAGCTCCGGTAGTGGCCTGTGCAGCACACAACGCGGAGGAACGGCGAGAAACTGAAGGTCAGCTATGGCGGCAGGGTCATGTTACGTCAAGATGGCGGCGCCCATGAAATATTGCCTGAAATGGTCTATAGTTTCACTCGCGCGGAAGCCCGCACCTTGTGTCCGACACAGACCGATTACAATTTGAAGCAATGTTCTTTGCCATTATAGTGTTTTCTTTTTGACTTGTACGCTTTCTTCGGAAAAAGGTGCATTTTTTATTGATATTCAGCGCATGTCTGTACCGTCGCACCGAACATTATTTTGTAGGTATAAGGTGAACGTGGCAGCGGGCTCCATCGAGTACCGCGGCGCAGAAAAAGTCACCGATGAAACCGATCAGGCGCGGAAAAAGAAAGTCAGCAATGGAGACCCAACGAAGTCGATGGTGAAAACCTTCAACCAAACATTAACAAGTGTACTCAAGCATTCTTGGATAGTCGAGAGTGGCTTCGACTACGGGAAAGGACCCCTGGTTGTCAAGGCGAACGGCACCGGTGTTCTCATGGAGGATGACTCCACACCTGAAGTCAGCAACGACCAATCCTGGGATGTGGACTTAGCGACGGACAAGGAACAGTCTTACAACCGAACGGAATGGGCTAATTTCAGCTCAGTAGTCTATACGATTCCTCCGATGAAAACGACGACATTGGAGTGGACAATCTCCAGTTGCACTCAGGTTTGTATTTTGTTTACTGCATGATGGTGTTAATATTTGGCGCAATAATAACCCTGTTAAATATATATATATAGAGAGAGAAAGAGAGAGAGAGGGAGAGAGAGATGATAGATAGATAGATAGATAGATAGATGCATAGATAGATAGATAGATAGATAGATAGATAGATGCGTAGATAGATAGATGAACGGAGCACATACTTTACTTCTACCACGGCGACCTCGTGTGGTAGTACGAGGCCTACAGACTCCATTCCCCACGAAGGCCTACCGCAGTCGAAGTATATGATCCGTTGGAGGAAATCAAGCATCGCTAAAAGGTCGTAATCACGGCGCTCGTCTTTTTTTTTTTTTTTTTTGTGTGTGTGTGTGCGCTTGCTTTTCCGGCAGCTATCCCAATAATGCACCGGAAAAAAAAAAAAAAAGGAAACGATTACGGCGCATTTACCAAGGGTCCTAATGTGGACACTTGGCGAGAAACTCGGCGAGAAATCTGGCGGGCGTGATTGGCCAACGCCACACTTGACCTTGGCGCCGGCCAATCAGAGCCGCCGGATTTCTCGCCGACTTTTTCGCCAAGTGTCCACATTAGGGCCCCAGGCCCGATAGGTTTAGCCGATGTTCGCAAGCGTCGCGTGGTCAGGACACGTTTTGCGTCATCCCACACGATGTCCTCTCGCTTCAGTCTCTCCATTCTTTCTGTACTCGTAAGAAAAAAAAAAAATAGGGATCGATGAGGCGACATTTTGAAAAGATGCGCGGCGGATCGTGCCAGGAAGACGGATATCGAACCTTAACGTTCCTCATCAAATTCTTCTTATGTCGGTTTGATGAACATATTGAAGAATTCGAAGAAATAATGCTGTAAAGGGTTTCGTACGTTTAGTCAGCAACATGTTTACGTCATCCTTTCTCATTTTCTGTAGGAAGTTCCCTGGACAAGCGTCGTTACAGTCGGAGGATTCTTTGCCGTGTGGTTCAAGACCAAGGTCAGCGGGAACAACCTCTGGTTCTGCCCGGTCACGGTACTCGAAGATCCTCTCCTGGAGCATGTCCGCCCTGAAGAACTAGAATTTGTCGCGCGTGGTCGTTATGAAGGCGTCCGTACGATAGAGACACCCGCCAAAGTAGCGCCCGCGCCCGAGTATGGAGGTCCCCAGAATGTGTCCACGGTCGCTCCACCGGATGTTTATGATTACGCGGAAGTCCAGTTGCCTCCGACCGGGAAACCTGAAGCCAAGAGGTGCGAGGTCGCCCAAAGTGATGCAGTGTCTGCCCAAAGTGGTGCGGTGTCTTTCCGCAATCGGAGCCCCGTCTTGTACATTTTGCTTGCCACGAATCTGTTGACAATGACAGTCCATGTTTTCCCGTGATACCGCCGGGTCCCATTCTTGTTTATCGGTCGGCCTGTGCTATTGATCTTATAATAAAACGTTTGCAGCTCTATTTCGATCTATCGATCAAACCGTCAAATGCAGAAATCGTATTTTATGAAAAACGCAGCCGACGCCAATGTCTAATATTCATCCGCGTCTTCCTGGCACTAGCCCTTCTGCGCCCTTCATAACCGTGCCTCGTCGTTTTCGTTTTGTTTTTCTTTTTTTCTTTTTTTGTGACGACACTGATCGTACATAGATTTTATGTGATTTCATCTCAACTCAGCTACGAATTTTAAATCCAAGTTTTAATTTTTGTAAAAAAAAAAAAAACATGTCATCGGGCAATTCCTATATTAAAAGAAGACGCAAACAGGGCGAGTCCGTCGGATTTTTGTTCTCAAGTTATGGACCGTTGAGCCACGTCTTTCCAGGTTATCGGGGGTGCCATATTTCACTCCATCCATCAATATACCTTTTTGGGAGCACCCTCGAGATATGCTTTTTTATGCTAATTAAGCGTCTAGGTGAAAAGATCCTTAATGTATCTTTTTTATTTGTCAAACCTCCTCTCTGCGACGATATTTGACGAAGTTCAGCAAGCTGTGCTGCGTGACCTAATGAACATATATTTGTGATCTTTACATCACCGGAAAGCTGCAATCAACCTCTTTCTTTTTAGTATCATTTGAATATTTTCGTTAAATATAGAATGCGCTCCATGTGCCTGAAAAACGAATATTTTGAAAAACTAGCAAATTCGAAGTCGATTTTCTAAAAAAAAAAAAAAGAAACGTTTTATTTCTTTCATTTTTTGTTCACAGTTAGGTAATATAGTAGTCTATCAGGAGCTACCAACGGAAATTGTAATATATTGTTTTTATGGCCGCTATTAGGACTCCAATCTCGTGCTATGAGATTTTTGAACGGGACTTCGCACAGGCGCTCTGCTGAGCGAAATTTCGGCCTATGTAAGGGTTTCTTTTTATTGTGAGCAGTTACCTGAATATCCAACTATAAACATTGATGAAATTTAAAGTAATGCTCTTAAAAGGGTTACTTAGAAGTCCGTACCTACAAATGCGGGAACCCCCCCCCCCCCCCCCCCCCCCCCCCCCCCCCCAGCGCTTACTTCCTACCAATACGGGGAAATGCAGATCGTTAGAGAATTCCCAATGGGCCCTTTGCTTTCCGCTTTGAGCTTGAAATACCAAACTTGACATGTAATTGTCATATTTCTTTACGTCAAACCGATATGCGATTGTGGTCAACGTACCGAGAGGCGTTCTTTGCTGACACACTTGTTATTTACATATTTTACGGGCCAGTTCGAGATAATAGAGAGTTTTAGAATAGGGGGCCCCAACGCTTTGGGGTACCCAGCGCAACCACAACTTACGCACCGTGCTTATAGAATAGGCTTTGTGACGGCGCAACGCGGCACGCTCGCCTTTTTCGCATGCAGCGCCATTGTGGACAACGAACGAACTTCTTAACAGTTAAAAAAAATTATTAAAACGCCAAACATTTGCACTGAAACGACACTTTATTGTGGCTTGCGGTTCAAATAATATGGGGGTTAACACCAGTTGGAACGGCACAGCAAGAACCATCTGCCGACCGTCTCTGAATCAGGAGATTTACTTCTCTGGTCACAAGAGAGTGCAGCACGGAGCGGCACCGCGCTCCGTGGAGAAATAGTGCAACCAACCTCTGCTGCGCTGTCCTTGCGCAACGCAGCAGAAGTTGGTTCCACTATTTCTCCACGGGGCGCGGTGCCGTCGGGGCCGAGATGCGCTCCGATTGCAAACCGAAACTTAAAACCCCGTCGAATTTGTAGGGTTTTTCAGAAAGCCGTATAATGCTTCGCGTACCTTCTATCCTTCTGCAATTTGTTGATTTTGTGTTTTTCGATGATGCTGAGCAATTTTCTAATTGAAACTATGCCCTTAAACATAACATTAAAAAAGGTAATTACGCGAAAATAATTAACGATCTAATTATCCCGGACTTTATTTATTTTCGTAAATAGATCCCTGGTCCAGGACCAAAACGACACAAGCCTTTTGTGTTGAGACGCGTAGTTTTCGCGATATCAAATGTGTCCACCTTTTGTGAAACACCTTATATATATATATATATATATATATATATATATATATATATATATATATATACACAACACGGGCACTTCACGTCATCGTACGTGGTCTCCGAGGAGGATATAAACGAATATGTGCAGGTGAATGAACCGTACCTAATCCAATGAATCAAAGAATCAAAGTTTTCAGGAACCCGCCGAAAGCCAAAAAACGGCGGAGCCAGGATCCTGGCTCCGCCGTTTTTTGGTCCTGGCTCCGCCGTTTTTTGGCTTTCGGCGGGTTCCTGAAAACCTTGATTCTTTGATTCATTGTTTATTTATTTATTTATTTATTTATTTATTTACAATTACCCTCAAGGCCCCAAGGGGCATTATAGAGGGGAGTGGTTGGTTAGTACAGTTCTAAATTTCGCGTTATCGGTGATGGTGACGATGCCATCGGGAAGGCCATTCCAGTCCACAATAGCTTTTGGTATGAGCGAATGTTGATGGGCTGCTGAAGTGGTCTTGGGACGGGCGATCTTGCATGAATGATCCACTCTTGCAGAAATATAGCTGGGCGGGCTGAGGAGAGACTGTCGTAATGGTTCAGAGTAGTAAATTTTATGAAGAAGGCAAAGACGGGAAATTCTGCGACGAACGGAAAGGCCAGGAAGGGTTAATTCAGATTTCATTGCAGTGACACTAGAAAAGCGAGAGTAATCAGAAAGAATAAATCGAGCAGCACGATTTTGAACAGATTCGATTGCGTTGGTTAGGAAAGCCTGATGGGGATGCCAGATAGCTGAAGCATACTCTAGTTTAGGGCGAACAAGCGTGACGTAAAGAAGACGTTTGAGGTTAGAAGGAGCAGACTTGAAATTGCGACGGATATAGCCAAGTGAACGGTTTGCAGAGGATATTGTCTTGTCTACATGAACATTCCAGGACATATTAGTGGTTAGATGGACGCCAAGATACTTGTACTGTGCAGCAGTCTGAAGGGTAATGCCGTTGAGTGTTAAAGAGTTTAAGGGCTGGGAGGAGGAACGTGTGAAGCAGAGGTGCATGCATTTGTTTATATTCAGAGACATTTGCCATGTGCGGCACCATTCAGAAATTTTGTTAATGTCGTTCTGGAGTGCAATATGGTTGTTTGGGTCTTTTATTAGTCTATAAACAACGCAGTCATCAGCGAAAAGACGAACAGAGGACGATAGGTGAAGAGGGAGATCATTAATGTAGATTAAGAAGAGTAAGGGGCCAAGCACAGTTCCCTGTGGAACACCGGAAGAAACGGGAGAGAAAGAGGAGGACGTGTTGTTAGCGAAAACGAATTGAGAGCGATGAGTAAGGAATGATTCAATCCATTGAAGAACAGGAGGGTCCAGTTTGAGAGAACTAAGTTTAAAGAGAAGGCGGTTGTGTGGAACTTTATCAAAAGCTTTGGCGAAATCAAGAAAAACAGCGTTAGTTTGATAGCCAGTGTCAAGATTTTTAAACAGGTCGTTAGTGAGAAAAAGTAGCTGGGTCTCACAAGACAGGTGTTTCCGGAAGCCATGCTGCGCGTTGGTGAAGAAGTTGCAGGAATCCAGGAAGTTAATCAGGTGCTTGTAGATGACGTGCTCGAGGATCTTGCAGGAGATGGAGGTGAGTGATATTGGCCGATAATTTAGTGGAGATGTTTTACTTCTGGACTTGTGGACCGGAATGACCTTACCAATTTTCCAGTCGGAAGGTAACACACCTGTATCAAGGGACTGCTGAAATATTTTTGTGAGGTAAAGGCCGGATGCAAATTTAGTGTTACTTAGAACCTTCGCATTAATACCGTCTATACGACATGATGAAGACATTTTGAGGGATTCTATAATGTTGATTACACCTTGAAAGTCTATAATAACAGGATCCATTGGAAAATAATTTTTTGTAACAGGAGGAATTCCAGTAATGGGTGTAGAAACGGTAAATGCATCAGAAAATACCCTGTTTAGAATATTTGCACATTCACTATCCAATATGTTATCACCAGAGCTATTGACTAGATTTATTTCTGAGTGTGGTTTTTCATTAACAAAGCTCCAAAATTTTTTAAGGTTGTTTAGTAACATATTAGGTAGAGTGTGTTGTAAGAATGTGCGTTTACACTCTCTCAACATACTTTTATATTCAGAAGAGCAAATGGCATGCTTAGACCAAGCTTCTGGTGTATTTGCTTTTTTAGCGTTCCTGAAAAATCTTTTCTTTTTGTTAGATAGACGACGAAGGGAATTATTGTACCATGGTTTAGACGCTGTAGTTCGAATTGTTGCGCACGGTATGTATTTTTCAATAAGTTCAAACAATTTGGTCTTAAAAGCTTGCCAATTTTCATCAGCGTTATGGCAGTCGAAGTTTTCATTAAAAGAAACAAAATAGTCGGAGAGCTCGGAGTTCATCATGTCATAGTTCCCCTTGTGGTACAAACGTATCTTTTTAGAAATGCACGTCGACTTTGACGGTTTGATATCAAGAAAACAATGAAGAGCCTTGTGGTCGCTAATGCCATCTAGTGGAGATAAATCCTTAACTAGAAGAGGATCAGTGACAAGTGCCAAATCCAGAATATTTGAACTATTTTCAATGATCCTTGTAGGGAAGGAAACCAACTGGGTGAGGTTAAAAGAAAAACAAGTCTATAAAATCGCGGTCCACACTAGATCCCCCGAAACAACTCGTAGTCTGAGCATTCCAGTCTATACAAGGAAAATTAAAATCACCAAAAAGAAAAATAGGTTTGTTGGTGTG